AACCTGTAGATTTTGGACTTAGATCTGGATATATATAGCACCCATGTTTATGAGGAAAGCCAGTTTGGTGTAGTGGTTAAAGCATCAGGCTAGAAACTGGGAGACCAGGAATTCTAGTCCTGTCTTAGGCACAAAGCCAGCTGGGTGACCTTGGGCCGGTCATTCTCTCTCAACCCTAGGAAGCAGGCAAGGGCAAACCACTTCTGAAATCTTGCCAAGAAAACTGCAGGGACTTGTCCAGACAGCCAGCAGGAGTCAACATTGACTTGAAGCCATTAAAAAAATGTTTGTAAAAGGCCAGTCTTTGAGGCTTGTTTTTATCTAATGGTGCTTTTACCAATTTCCCACTCCTGTGTTAAAATATTATCACTCACTGCAAAGAGTAAATGGACTTAAGGACGGTTGCATTAATCCTTCATTTGTGGTTAGGCAAATTAAAATGAAGTTATTTTTTACTGTCTTATTAAACTTTGAAAACTCAAAGTCATGCTTTTCTCTAAAATCTGTAAGAATTTGTGCTTCATTCATTACAGTTGAAACTTGGGTGGGAGTTTATACAGTCAAGGACTGTTACCCAGTTCAAGAAACCTACACCAAGAACTACAGTGTGACAACCTCCACCCGTTTCTTTGATCTTAGCCTTGGGATAAGCGACCCATCTGTTTTCATCCCTCCCAGCACCTGCCAGACAGCTCAGCCAGAAAAGATGATTTATGCATGCTGATGGTAGATCTTGGCTTCTACAGTACATATATAAGCTCAGAATGTAATATTAATAACTAGCTTCTGATGTCTAATATGACTGTTGCACTTTGCAGAATGCAGGTTGTAACAGACTAGATATGTCATATCTTTTTTGACATGTTATTCTAAATGTGTTCTCATATCCTACAACTGTTAGCAAATAATCATTTATATTTATTTATTTTAGCTGCTAACATCCTCTGGCAGAAGGTGTTTCTGTTTTCTAGGAGGTATAATGTATTTCCAAAAGCATATTAAAATATGAAATAGATGTGTTAATTTTGGAGAGATGGATGAAATCTATTACATGTAACAGATAAGGTGTTACCATAAGATGGCACATTGTAGCATAATGATTTTCTGAAAGCTGCTATAGTGGATTAATATTCCTCTGGTTCAAGATTTTCTGTCAAGAGTCAATTTTAGATGAATTGCTGTGATACAGAGAAACTATATCTAAATCTTCTATTTCCATATGAAAAGATATACCTGATGCTTTTCTTGTTTTCATAGTCACTATTAAAACATTTATAATGACTTGTCAGAAAATTACACTTGGCAACATATAAAACATTTTTAAGAAATACCGGACATACAGTTATTACTCTGATAGTCCAGAAGAGAAGAAAATATAGTTAAGATTATTGTTATGACAGCAAGAATAAGAGTAGTCACCAGTGTTATCAATGTTGGTTTTGGTAATTGAACAAATTCAAGAGGAAGAAAAATTTTAATGGATGATACAGAAGTCTGTTCTTTATATAATCAAAATTAAATTACAAATAAGGAACATATATGAAAAGTATTTTATTACTTTGGTTATAATGTTTTCTCCCCTGAAAAATATATGCGGTGGTATCAAACATGTAGGGCTCTCCAGTCAGTCCTACAAAAATTCAGACAAAGATGGGCAAGAGGCAACTATTCTTCCTGAAGGCCCTACATGATTTATTCTGCATAAAGAAAAATGGAAGCGTAGGTTGAAAAAAGATGAACTAATGAATGACAGTATTTCAATCTAACCTACCCAGAATCACTGGTAGTTGGGTGGCATATACATTTAATAAATTATTATTATAAGCCTCCCAAAAGGATAGACAGAGCATAGGAGATTTTAATGTTTCTTCATTGCTCATTCTTCATCCTATTCTTTAATTAGAATACAACAATGATAGCTTTAGTATCAGTACAGACTTGAAGAAGGTTCCTGACTATTGTTCTTCCACATTAGATGGCTTGTGAACCAGGGATTCTCCGTACACAACATGAAAAGCAAGACCAGGCACCTTAATTTAATTTTTATATTTTAAGTTTAGTTATTTTTATTTTATTTGTGTTGTGAGAGTCTGTAATGTATTGATTCCTTCTGAAAATTTGTGAAGTACTAAGCAACTGCAACTTGGAAAATCTCCTTGTTAGCTCTGAAATGTCAGAGTGGAGCACTTTTATACATAGTTCACTAAGGTTTCTCAAAGAGTCTTTTATTCCCATATCAGAAGATGAAAACATTGTGCTGTTGTCATCTTCCTCTCTTAACAAAGAATAATGCAGTGCAGGTGATGACTTGAAATCTAATTCTAATTACTCCATAACTGTTTCTTCAATAATTAGCCAGTTATTCCAGCTGTTCCTTCTACTCTTATGTACTTATTTATTATTTTATTGTTAGAACAACTAATTTTATTGTGAGACTTTATTTTTGTTTACATGCTGCTTTTATTTTTATTATAAAATATGAAGTATATGTGGTGAAAACTTGTACTTGCGGAAAGACTTGATGAAAATGAAAAGAGGGCTCTACATATAAATGTTTTTACAAATGATTAGGAGCTCTGTATAGGGTTTGTAATCATAGAGAAAAGCCTACAGCTTCCATTCAACTTGTAGAGTTTGGAGACAAGATCATCAAGTGCTCATATTCCCTTGTCATTCACAGATGGAATCCTTCATCTCCCAGGGTCACAGACATAAAGTGCTTGTCACCTTATTTACAACTGGAACAGTCAGGAAAGAGTATGCTTGTATGAGTATGTGTTTAATAAGGATGCGGATATTTTATGTTAGAGCTGTGCATGCATTCACAAGTAGCGTTTTGGGCCTTGCTTAATCTGCTGTTCATTAAAATAGCCGCATCTGTTTTTCAGGATTCTGTGGGAACCTGCTTTAAGAATTGCTTGAATTACTCAAGTCCCAAAAACAATGGCATCATTTTTAGGCTTGTATGAAAGCCAGAAGCAGGACATGGCTGCTTTAATTAGTAATGGAGAGGTGCTGTGTTCATGCTTTGGGTGAGATTCAAAGCATTTCTTCAGAATGACTTTTGAAGCATGCACAGCCCTATTACCATGTACAGGCACTTTAAAGGATAACTAACAGCATAGCAGATCCCTCCCTTAGGAACTTGGCAGCTTATTAATGCAGAAGGTGATCAACTGAGGGAAAGTGAAAGTATACATTCACTTCAGTCAAGTATAGTTAGCTTTTCATTATCCAAGTGATAAGAATGAAGATTAAACAGAAGACCAGTATTGTCTTTGAGGAAAGATTTGAAAGAAAATAAAGAGCTGGGATCCAAATAGAGGGCTTTGTAGATTTAGGGAATAGAACGATATAGGTAAGCAAGACTTTGGGCAATTTTAAGGTAAGGATTGAGCCAGGAGCCAAAAGGAGCAAATAGGGAATACAGAAAGGAATTGCTATTTAATGTGAAAAGAAATAGAAATTTCTGTGAGTGAAGTGAGATGGCCATGATGTCTCAAAAGGTCAGAAATTATTTAAACTTAAAAAAGTATAAAGACATACAGTAGATATGTTTAAGTGATATGGTCAAAATACATACTATCCTCTAAATAAAATAGTGATGCTACTTTAATTTGGATTTTCTGCATTGATCACTGTGTATATTTATAAGCCTCTCATATGAGTACTCCAATATAGTTACTTGAATGGGATATTGGAATAGCTTAGGGGTTTTTTTAGCGTATCTTACACATTTTCTAGTGGCTTGTTAAAAAGATGCTATTTCTCCTAACCTAAAAAGGAGAATAAATATTAGATGGCAGAGAACAGAGACTGGCAAAAAAGGTAGTTAACTAACAGCCTCCAAAGAAAGTGGAGGAGTATCTTATGCTTATTATTTCCTTTATGTCTTTTCCCTCAGCACATTGACAGAAACACTGCCAATAGTTTGCTTCTTGTTAGGTCTTCACTAGGGTTACCATATCCAGGTTGCAAAAATCCAGATGACAATAGCAGCAAAGAGATACAGAACCATCTAGTAGCTGACTGGATTTTTGCAGCCCTAAGATACTGCATTTCCAGCAGCTTGGGGCTATAAATTATCTACAGTATTTAACAATCACCACTGCAGTAATATAGCAGTGATAAATTATTTTGTACCGGTTGTGTGTAAATTTAATATTCATAGTAAATTTAATATTTGGCTTCCACTGATACTCCCATTGTTACATTTCAGTTGCCCTGTTAAAGTTCTGCATCGATTTAATCATGCAGTCTTTAACTTGTTTGGTTTCTGATAACAATAACAACTTGTAAATAAGCCCCAGTGATGTTCTTTGTTTAGAACTACTATATATGTTTTTCAGATTTGGTCAAACCTCTAAATATTCTGCCTTGTTTTTGTAATTCTTTTTGGACTATACTCCTTATTTGAAGATATTGAAGCCAATGAGGTGATTTGACCAAACTGAAGAGGGACTCTTGAGAAATTTCATCTTTGTTTATTAAGAGTTAAGTGTTGCAATCTATATGAATTGTTATCTTACCACAAATCAATTTTTTGTACATTTACCTTCATAAAAATAAATATTTACTACTGAAGCAAGGAGCAATATGTCTGGGCTAATCTTTTTTCTCTACTTATCCCATACTCTAAATATGCTGTTTATAAATGAATAATCTCTTATCAATTGTACATTTCTGTTTGTTTTCAACCAAATATATTTATATACATCTTCTGAGAGTCCTGCTCCCTGAATAGAAGTAATTCTTCCACAAAGTGATATAATTCAATCTGTGATCCAGTTGCTGACAAAGATCCGCATAATCAAAGCTACGGTTTTTCCAGTAGTAATATATGGCTGTGAGAGCTGGACCATAAAGAAGGCTGAATGCCGAAGAATTGATGCCTTTGAAC